GCGGGACAAGGGTCAACGAGGTGGTGGTCGACGGCGGGAGTGCTGGATCTGCGGCGACCCTGACCATCTCTCCTTCGAGTGCCCCGACCGCGATGACAGTGACGAGGACGACAACAAGGGAGGCCGCGGACGATCGGCCAGTCGTCGCCCGCGTCGAGTAGAGAAGCCCCGCAAGGAGAAGCAAGCGTCGAAGAAGACGTCGTCGACGAAAGACGTCGACAGCTCCAGCGGCAAGAGCCGAGGCGACGGGGAGGCGTCGTGCTCGATGGTCGGCGTGGTGGAGCCGACGGTCTCGCTGGCGAGGACTTCCAAGCAGTGGCGGCAGCTGTGCAGGCCAACCCGATGGCGGTGCTGCTCGACAGCGAGTGCTCCCACCACCGGATGGGGACGAAGTCGGTCTTCGTCAAAATGGGGCCGAGCGACGGGGTGAAGCACGTGCATCGGTTCAACGGGGCATTGCAGCCTGTCGAGGGTCGCGGAACCGTTGCTCTGCAAGGGGAGGCCGGGAAGCGGGTCCTCATCCCCGACGTACTCTACGTTCCGGGCGTACAGGCAAACCTGTTATCTGCTGGCCAGGTGAAGGAGAGTGGAGTGCTGTTGCAGGGCGATGGCGATGAGATGATGCTCGTCGCCGCGACTGGGGCGGTGCTCGGTCGAGCACGCTACACCAGACGGATACTCTGCACCGACCTTTGCCCCTGCTCGACGCAGTCGCCGTCGACCGAGGTGGTGGCTCTGCGGACGATCATCTCCGCGACGAAGACGACCCCCGACAGGATGCATGCGCGGCTCGCACACGTCAGCGTCGACACGATCAAGAGCTCGGCGAAGCATGATGTTGCTACTGGGCTCGACATCACGTTGTCGACCGGAGGAGACCCGCCGTGTGTCTCGTGCGTTGGAGGAAAGCTGGCGCGGCACACCTTCCCTGCCAAGGGCTCGGACGCAGCGGAGGCACTGGCTGTCGTGCACATTGACTTGTGCGGGCCATTTCGAGTAGCAGCCAAGGATGGCAGCTTGTACTTCCTGCTGCTGAAGGATCGCCATACTCGATTTGTATGGGCAATGCCGGTCGCTAGGAAGAGCGACGTGCTGCGGGAGTTTCAGCGGTGGCTGGCGCTAGTGGAACGGCAGACGAAGAAGTCGGTGCTGTCGCTTCGCTCCGATCGAGGAGGGGAGTTCCTCGGGAAGGCGTTCACCGACTTCGTCGACGGGAAGGGCATCGTCCACGACCTGACGTGCCCCTACACTCCGCAGCAGAATGGCATGGCTAAGCGGGAGATGCGCACGGTCGTCGAGTCCGTGCGGACGATGCTGCTGCACATGGGCGTGCAGCACCACTGGTGGCACCTTGCTCTACGACAAGCGGTCTGGGTGCGCAACTGCTTGGAGCGATCGACGACGCCACCGGGAACGACTCCGTACCAACTGTTGACCGGGCAGAAGCCCGACCTTACGCTGGCGCGGGTGTGGGGCTGCATGGTGCAGTTTATGGTTCCCGAGCAGCAGCGCGGTGGGAAGCTGGCTCCGAAGGCTCGCTGGGGACTTCACCTGGGTGTGTCGTCGGAGAGTAAGGGCTGGGAGATGCTCGACCTGACAGACAGCAAGGTGGTCACGTCGGTCGAGGTGATCTTCTACGAGACGCTGTCGCTGGAGGTGTGGAAGGCGAAGTATGGGCCGGCATCGGGGCGGACGCAGGTACACTCGCCTACGGACACCTCGACGGCGACGGTTCCCCTGCTCGCCGAAGTCGACGAGCCTGCTGATGAAGATGTTGTGGAGGTTCCTCCACTTTCCCCTGTCCTTGCTCCTCCCTCTCCCGTCGCCGATCTTCCTGCGTCGACACCTGTGTCGGCCACCAACGATGAGGGGAGCCTTGAGGCATCGCCTGTGGCGCCGGCCAGTGGCATCGCCGGTGGACGACAAGGCGCCAAGCTCGTCGACTACGATGGGAAGCCGTCGACGACAGGGGAGTACCAGACAGGGGAGCCGGTCGAACAGGAGGCATCGGCAGGGGGATACTCGACAGGGGAGCGGCAGCCGGAGCGGTCGACAGGAGAGTTGTCGAAGGCAGCAGCAGAGGAACAGCCGGTTGAAGGGTCGAAGCAGCGGGTCGACGACATTCTCGTTGACGAGAAAGGGGAGCTGTCGGCGGGTGAGTCTACCGATAGTGATGTAATGGAAGTGCCGATCACGAAGCCCGAGCTGCGACGTACAGGTCGAGCTCGACGGCCGCCGGAGCGGTTGTGCTTATATGCCTGCCTACCGCCAGCTGCCTTCACCACGGTGTACGACGAGGTCGACGACGACCTGCTGTACGACGATGCCGAGGAGGATGAAGATCTGCTGGAGCTCGACCCTGACGTGCATGCTGACCCCGAACACCGCTGGGACATCGCCACGATGACGGTGAAGGAGGCGTTGTCGAGCTGGAAGGGCGAGGCAGTGAAGGCCGCCATGGAAGAAAAAATCCGTAGCCTCATCGCTATGGGGACTTGGGAGCTGGTCAAACGCCCACGCGGGGTGAACATTATGAAAAACCGATGGGTGCTGACGACCAAGTACCGCATCAACGACACCGTCGAGCGCGAGAAGGCGAGGCTAGTCGTGAAGGGCTTCACGCAGGTGTACGGCGCTGACTACGACGAGACGTACTCCCCGGTGAGCAGCTACGTCACGCTGAGGATCTTCCTCAGCATAGTCGCCGTCCTCGATCTCAACCTGATGCAGCTCGACATGAAGAACGCTTTCCTGCAGAGCAAGCTTGACAGGGTGCTCTACATGTACCAGCCGGACTATTTCAACGACGGGACCGGCCGGGTGTGTAAGCTGCTGAAGAGCCTCTACGGGCTGAAGCAGTCGCCGCTGCTGTGGTACAGGGCTCTCGACGGTGTGCTGCTGGGCGCTGGCTGGAAGAAGAGCCAGGTCGACGAGGCACTCTACTTCAAGGTCGGAGACGACGGAGTGACCTGCTGGGTGCTGGTCTGCGTCGACAACCTGCTTGCCGCTAGCAGCAGCACCGCGATGCTGAAGGAGCTGAAAGAGCTGCTGGAGGCCGACTTTGAGCTCCGTGAGATCTCCCCAGTGGTGAAGTACCTTGGGCTGGAGATCTTGTGCGACAGGCCGGCCAGGAAGCTGTGGCTGCACCAGCAGGGCTACGCCGACAAGGTGCGCAGGCGCTTCATCGACGAGGAGCAGGGCGGTCGAGTCCCGAAGACGCCAGTCTTGGTTGACGCCTACGCTCAGCTGACGTTCGACGACGAGGAGGCTCAAGAGCGCGAGGAGGAGGAGTACCAGCAGAAGGTAGGCTCGCTGCAATTTGCGGCGACGACGACCAGGCCGGACATCGCGTTCGCCTGGAGCAAGCTGGGGAGCGGCCTCACGGTGAGGAGCGACCAGCATTGGCGCGAGGTCGACCATTGTCTCGCCTACCTTGCCGACACCCGCGACACTGCCCTGGAGTTTGGCGGTGGACCAGAATCGTTGGAGCTGATCCGCTACGTCGATGCCGACGACGCGGGCGACAAGTAGAACCGGACGAGCACGGGAGGCTACGTGTTCGTCTACGGAGGGGCCGCAGTCTCCTTGTCGAGCTCGCGCATCAAGTGCGCGACATTCTCATCGACCGAGTCGGAGTACGTGGCGGCAACAGACGCCGGCAAAGAGGGGCGTCCACTTTGCTTCCTCCTTGCGGAATTCAAGCTGCTCGACGCTGGGAAGCCGACCATCCTCCGCGTCGACAACAAGTCGGCAATCACGGTCGCTGAGGGCTTGGGGCTGACGGGCTACCTCAAGCACATGGAGCGACGCTACGCCTGGCTGCAGCACATGGTGAGGCGCGGGAAATTTGTGCTGAACTACATCCCTACCACCGAGCAGCCGGTGGACTTCCTGACAAAGGCGCTGCATTTTCCGGCTTTCAACCGGTGCTCTATCGCCATCGGCCAAGTTCGCCTGGTCGACATCGGCGACGGCGACGACGAGGTGCAGCAGTAGGTGCCGTGCCCTTCTGCACGGCTGGTGCGGTGACGGTGTGCTGTGTGTGGGGTGCATGCCGAGGACGAGTTTTCTCCGTGGAGTACTGCCGTGTGGGCTGGAGGCCCAAGCGTGAGCGCGACAGGGGAGTGTTAACAGGAATGGAGTGTTGGCCCTGCCCTCGCTTGGGCAACGCCGACGACTTGGTCGGATGCACGGGAGTAGCAGCCGATTGTTCACAGTGGGATAGCTGCTCGACAGGGTACGTCGAGCTGCAGCGGACCGCTGTGGTGTTGCTGTCGACCAAGGAGCTCGACAACTGCAACTGACTGGTCTGTGCGACGGGTGGGCCGTCAGGGAGGTCGACGAAGCAGTCCGTCGACCTGCAGTTCGACAGGGAAGTCGACAGAGCAGTTTTGGTCGACAGAAGGGGTCTGCCGACCAGGGGGTAGCTCGACGGGAGTTGTGGTCGACCAGGAGCGCCTGGTGGTCGACCAGAGGGACCCAGTGGTAGACCGGAGGCACGTGGGGGTCGACCAGAGTACCAGGAGTCGACCAAGTCGACCGGGTAACCTGCTCGACGAGTTCTGCGGAGGCTCGCGAACGTCGTCGAGATCGCGATGGAGCAGGCGACTTTGGGCTGGTATCCTAAAGTGGATGTTGCTCGTCAGGCGCAGACAACAGCCGACAGATGCCCAACGAGGCAAGACAGGCCAATCGTCTGCGCACACGTGCGAGCGCGCGCACTGCTGTGTTCTACGGGGCACGCCGTCGACCTGCTTTGTTGGCAGGTCGCCCTTCTGCAGTGCTGGCGCGGCTCCTCTACGCAATGCTGGCAGGCGGTCGACCGAGCTGCGCTGGCGGTCGACCAGGCTAGCTGCAGGGTTGCTAGGTGCCTAATGTAGTCATTGTTGTCTTTGCTTCTTGCATTATTCTGGGATTCTCAACTTTGCTAGTGGAAACTCTTGCCAATTTCTCCCATGAATGTGCAAGCACTAAGGAACCAAGCAAAGATACGATCACCTCTAGTAGTTCGTGCCAACCCTGTAGTTTAGCTCACTACCGTTGTAGAGTGAATCTCCGCAGGTGAGAGGGAATGAGAGCGTATGAGTGTGGGTGGGAGGGAATGAGAGCGTATGAGAGTGGGTGAGAGGGAATGAGAGCGTATGAGAGTGGGTTAGAGGGAATGAGAGTGTATGAGAGTGGGTGAGAGGGAATGAGAGCGTAAGAGAGTGGGTGGGATGGAATGAGAGCGTATGAGAGTGGGTGAGAGAGAATGAGAGCGTATGAGTGTGGGTGGGAGGGAATGAGAGCGTATGAGAGTGGGTGAGAGGGAATGAGAGCGTATGAGAGTGGGTTAGAGGGAATGAGAGGGTATGAGAGTGGGTGAGAGGGAATGAGAGCGTGTGAGTGTGGGTGGGAGGGAATGAGAGCGTATGAGAGTGGGTGAGAGGGAATGAGAGGGTAAGAGAGAGGGTGAGAGGGAATGAGAGGGTATGAGAGTGGGTGATAGGGAATGAGAGCGTATGAGTGTGGGTGAGAGGGAATAAGAGCGTATGAGAGTGGGTGAGAGGGAATGAGAGCGTATGAGAGTGGGTGAGAGGGAATGAGAGCGTATGAGAGTGGGTGAGAGGGAATGAGAGCGTATGAGAGTGGGCGAGAGGGAATGAGAGCGTATGAGAGAGGGTGAGAGGGAATGAGAGCGTATGAGAGTGGGTTAGAGGGAATGAGAGTGTATGAGAGTGGGTGAGAGGGAATGAGAGCGTAAGAGAGTGGGTGAGAGGGAATGAGAGGGTATGAGAGTGGGTGAGAGGGAATGAGAGCGTATGAGTGTGGGTGGGAGGGCATGAGAGCATATGAGAGTGGGTGAGAGGGAATGAGAGCGTAAGAGAGTGGGTGAGAGGGAATGAGAGGGTATGAGAGTGGGTGAGAGGGAATGAGAGCGTATGAGTGTGGGTGAGAGGGAATGAGAGCGTATGAGAGTGTGTGAGAGGGAATGAGAGCGTATGAGAGTGGGTGAGAGGGAATGAGAGCGTATGAGAGTGGGTGAGAGGGAATGAGAGCGTATGAGAGTGGGTTAGAGGGAATGAGAGCGTATGAGAGTGGGTGAGAGGGAATGAGAGCGTAAGAGAGTGGGTGAGAGGGAATGAGAGGGTATGAGAGTGGGTGAGAGGGAATGAGAGCGTATAAGTGTGGGTGAGAGGGAATGAGAGTGTATGAGAGTGGGTGAGAGGGAATGAGAGCGTATGAGAGTGGGTGAGAGGGAATGAGAGCGTATGAGGGTGGGTGAGAGGGAATGAGAGCGTATGAGAGTGGGTGAGAGGGAATGAGAGCGTATGAGAGTGGGTTAGAGGGAATGAGAGCGTATGAGAGTGGGTGAGAGGGAATGAGAGCGTAAGAGAGTGGGTGAGAGGGAATGAGAGGGTATGAGAGTGGGTGAGAGGGAATGAGAGCGTATAAGTGTGGGTGAGAGGGAATGAGAGTGTATGAGAGTGGGTGAGAGGGAATGAGAGCGTATGAGAGTGGGTGAGAGGGAATGAGAGCGTATGAGGGTGGGTGAGAGGGAATGAGAGCGTATGAGAGTGGGTGAGAGGGAATGAGAGCGTATGAGAGTGGGTGAGAGGGAATGAGAGCGTATGAGAGTGGGTGAGAGGGAATGAGAGCGTATGAGAGTGGGTGAGAGGGAATGAGAGCGTATGAGAGTGGGTGACAGGGAATGAGAGTGTATGAGAGTGGGTGAGAGGGAATGAGAGCGTATGAGAGTGGGTTAGACGGAATGAGAGCGTATGAGAGTGGGTGAGAGAGAATGAGAGCGTAAAAGTGTTAGAGACTAAGGACGGAGTCTATGAAGATTAGGTGCCCAAATTTCTCAAAATCGTTAGTCTCAATTTCTAGACAGAAACGTCGACTTCACAAGAAACGTTGTCGACGAAACGTGCACTGTTAGAATCCCACAAAATGTGAATATGTTGTAGCACTAGAACGTGGCTACATTTCCCAATTGGAATCGTATCAAAATATGGAGAATATCTTGAGTTATGTGTTTCGGCGCACTAGGGGGTATGCTGCCACAGAAATTTAACTCGATCACAATTAACTCACAAGTCCCACAAAAGAATATTAGAGTAGCACTAAACCTGGTAGGAGGGGAAGAGGAGGACGAGAGGGAAGGTCCCAAGAGAGAGTCCTCAACCAAGGAAACCCCATGCCACACAATTCCCTTCCCCATAGGCAACAAACTTTGACCTTTGTCACTTTCCAACCCATGCCATCCACGTCACCACAACTTGGCCACACTTACCAACCTGGTTTGGCTTCACCCAACCTCTTGGCAGCATCTACACTGATGGGTTCGAATTTTCCAACCCCCACAAGTCTGTACCCCATATTGAGTCAATGCCACAACTTCCCAAAGTAGCTGCAACCAAAATATATAAGCATACGAATTCCAATGTTCGTAACTTTCTTGGTTGTGCTCTGATCGCGACGATTCTTGGTTTGTCAGAAAGCTCTTGAGTAGAGGAATCACTTCAGATAACTGCTCAAGCCAAATAACATACACACACAAAGAGAGAGAAAATCCAAACCACACAAGACACAAATTTCTTGCACACGCTCACACTACGCATGCAACGCACAAACACATGATGGGAGGCAGACAGACGTGAATGCATATGGTTGCATCACACAACAAAAAGAGTGGGTGAGAGGGAATGAGAGGGTATGAGAGTGGGTGAGAGGGAATGAGAGCGTATGAGTGTGGGTGAGAGGGAATGAGAGCGTATGAGTGTGGGTGAGAGGGAATGAGAGGGTATGAGAGTGGGTGAGAGGGACGGAGAACGTATGAGAGTGGGTGAGAGGGAATGAGAGCGTGAGAGAGCGAGTGAGAGGAAATGAGAACGTATGAGAGTGGGTGAGAGGGAATGAGAGCGCATGAGAGTGGGTGAGAGGGAATGAGAGCATATGAGAGAGGGTGAGAGGGAATGAGAGCGTATGAGAGTGGGCGAGAGGGAATGAGAGCGTCTGAGCGTGGGTGAGAGGGAATGAGAGCGTATGAGAGTGGGTTAGAGGAAATGAGAGCGTATGAGAGTGGGTGAGAGGGAATGAGAGGGTATGAGAGTGGTTGAGAGGGAATGAGAGCGTCTGAGTGTGGGTGGGAGGGAATGAGAGCGTATGAGAGTGGGTGAGAGGGAATAAGAGCGTATGAGTGTGGGTGAGAGGGAATGAGAGCGTATGAGAGTGGGTGAGAGGGAATGAGAGCGTATGAGAGTGGGTGAGAGGGATTTAGAGCGTATGAGATTGGGTGGGAGGGAATGAGAGCGTATGAGAGTGGGTGAGAGGGAATGAGAGCGTATGAGAGTAGGTGAGAGGGAATGAGAGCGTATGAGTGTGGGTGAGAGGGAATGAGAGGGTATGAGAGTGGGTGAGAGGGACAGAGAGCGTATGAGAGTGGGTGAGAGGGAATGAGAGCGTGAGAGAGTGGGTGAGAGGAAATGAGAGCGTATGAGAGTGGGTGAGAGGGAATGAGAGCGTATGAGAGTGGGTGAGAAGGAATGAGAGCGTATGAGAGTGGGTGAGAGGGAATGAGAGCATATGAGAGTGGGCGAGAGGGAATGAGAGCGTATGAGAGTGGGTGAGAGGGAATGAGAGCGTATGAGAGTGGGTTAGAGGGAATGAGAGCATATGAGAGTGGGTGAGAGGGAATGAGAGCGTAAGAGAGTGGGTGAGAGGGAATGAGAGGGTGTGAAAGTGGGTGAGAGGGAATGAGAGCGTATGAGTGTGGGTGGGAGGGAATGAGAGCGTATGAGAGTGGGAGAGAGGGAATGAGAGCGTATGAGATTGGGTGGGAGGGAATGAGAGCGTATGAGAGTGGGTGAGAGGGAATGAGAGCGTATGAGAGTAGGTGAGAGGGAATGAGAGCGTATGAGTGTGGGTGAGAGGGAATGAGAGGGTATGAGAGTGGGTGAGAGGGACGGAGAGCGTATGAGAGTGGGTGAGAGGGAATGAGAGCGTGAGAGAGTGGGTGAGAGGAAATGAGAGCGGATGAGAGTGGGTGAGAGGGAATGAGAGCGTATGAGATTGGGTGAGAGGGAATGAGAGCGTATGAGAGTGGGTGAGAGGGAATGAAAGCGTATGAGAGTGGGCGAGAGGGAATGAGAGCGTATGAGAGTGGGTGAGAGGGAATAAGAGCGTATGAGAGTGGGTTAGAGGGAATGAGAGCGTATGAGTGTGGGTGAGAGGTAATGAGAGCGTATGAGAGTGGGAGAGAGGGAATGAGAGCGTATGAGAGTGGGTGAGAGGGAATGAGAGCGTATGAGAGTGGGTGAGAGGGAATGAGAGCGTATGAGAGTGGGCGAGAGGGAATGAGAGCGTATGAGAGTGGTTGAGAGAGAATGAGAGCGTATGAGAGTGGGTTAGAGGGAATGAGAGTGTATGAGAGTGGGTGAGAGGGAATGAGAGCGTAAGAGAGTGGGTGAGAGGGAATGAGAGGGTATGACAGTGGGTGAGAGGGAATGGGAGCGTGAGAGAGTGGGTGAGAGGGAATAAGAGCGTGAGAGAGTGGGTGAGAGGGAATGAGAGCGTATGAGTGTGGGTGAGAGGGAATGAGAGCGTATGAGAGTGGGTGAGAGGGAATGAGAGCGTATGAGAGTGGGTGAGAGGGAATGAGAGCGTATGAGAAGTGGCGAGAGGGAATGAGAGCGTATGAGAGTGGGTGAGAGGGAATGAGAGCGTATGAGAGTTGGTTAGAGGGAATGAGAGCATATGAGAGTGGGTGAGAGGGAATGAGAGCGTAAGAGAGTGGGTGAGAGGGAATGAGAGGGTATGAGAGTGGGTGAGAGGGAATGAGAGCGTATGAGTGTGGGTGGGAGGGAATGAGAGCGTATGAGAGTGGGTGAGAGGGAATGAGAGCGTATGAGAGTGGGTGAGAGGGAATGAGAGCGTATGAGAGTGGGCGAGAGGGAATGAGAGCGTATGAGAGTGGGTGAGAGGGAATGAGAGCGTATGAGAGTGGGTTAGAGGGAATGAGAGTGTATGAGAGTGGGTGAGAGGGAATGAGAGCGTAAAAGAGTGGGTGAGAGGGAATGAGAGGGTATGAGAGTGGGTGAGAGGGAATGAGAGCGTATGAGTGTGGGTGGGAGGGAATGAGAGCATATGAGAGTGGGTGAGAGGGAATGAGGGCGTAAGAGAGTGGGTGAGAGGGAATGAGAGGGTATGAGAGTGGGTGAGAGGGACGGAGAGCGTATGAGAGTGGGTGAGAGGGAATGAGAGCGTGAGAGAGTGGGTGAGAGGAAATGAGAGCGGATGAGAGTGGGTGAGAGGGAATGAGAGCGTATGAGATTGGGTGAGAGGGAATGAGAGCGTATGAGAGTGGGTGAGAGGGAATGAAAGCGTATGAGAGTGGGCGAGAGGGAATGAGAGCGTATGAGAGTGGGTGAGAGGGAATAAGAGCGTATGAGAGTGGGTTAGAGGGAATGAGAGCGTATGAGTGTGGGTGAGAGGTAATGAGAGCGTATGAGAGTGGGAGAGAGGGAATGAGAGCGTATGAGAGTGGGTGAGAGGGAATGAGAGCGTATGAGAGTGGGTGAGAGGGAATGAGAGCGTATGAGAGTGGGCGAGAGGGAATGAGAGCGTATGAGAGTGGTTGAGAGGGAATGAGAGCGTATGAGAGTGGGTTAGAGGGAATGAGAGTGTATGAGAGTGGGTGAGAGGGAATGAGAGCGTAAGAGAGTGGGTGAGAGGGAATGAGAGGGTATGACAGTGGGTGAGAGGGAATGGGAGCGTGAGAGAGTGGGTGAGAGGGAATAAGAGCGTGAGAGAGTGGGTGAGAGGGAATGAGAGCGTATGAGTGTGGGTGAGAGGGAATGAGAGCGTATGAGAGTGGGTGAGAGGGAATGAGAGCGTATGAGAGTGGGTGAGAGGGAATGAGAGCGTATGAGAAGTGGCGAGAGGGAATGAGAGCGTATGAGAGTGGGTGAGAGGGAATGAGAGCGTATGAGAGTTGGTTAGAGGGAATGAGAGCATATGAGAGTGGGTGAGAGGGAATGAGAGCGTAAGAGAGTGGGTGAGAGGGAATGAGAGGGTATGAGAGTGGGTGAGAGGGAATGAGAGCGTATGAGTGTGGGTGGGAGGGAATGAGAGCGTATGAGAGTGGGTGAGAGGGAATGAGAGCGTATGAGAGTGGGTGAGAGGGAATGAGAGTGTATGAGAGTGGGTGAGAGGGAATGAGAGCGTATGAGAGTGGGTGAGAGGGAATGAGTGCGTATGAGAGTGGGTGAGAGGGAATGAGAGCGTATGAGAGTGGGTTAGAGGGAATGAGAGTGTATGAGAGTGGGTGAGAGGGAATGAGAGCGTAAAAGAGTGGGTGAGAGGGAATGAGAGGGTATGAGAGTGGGTGAGAGGGAATGAGAGCGTATGAGTGTGGGTGGGAGGGAATGAGAGCATATGAGAGTGGGTGAGAGGGAATGAGGGCGTAAGAGAGTGGGTGAGAGGGAATGAGAGGGTATGAGAGTGGGTGAGAGGGAATGAGAGCGTATGAGTGTGGGTGGGAGAGTATGAGAGCGTATGAGAGTGGGAGAGAGGGAATGAGTGCGTATGAGAGTGGGTGAGAGGGAATGAGAGCGTATGAGAGTGGGTGAGAGGGAATGAGAGCGTATGAGAGTGGGCGAGAGGGAATGAGAGCGTATGAGAGTGGTTGAGAGGGAATGAGAGCGTATGAGAGTGGGTTAGAGGGAATGAGAGTGTATGAGAGTGGGTGAGAGGGAATGAGAGCGTAAGAGAGTGGGTGAGAGGGAATGAGAGGGTATGACAGTGGGTGAGAGGGAATGGGAGCGTGAGAGAGTGGGTGAGAGGGAATAAGAGCTTGAGAGAGTGGGTGAGAGGGAATGAGAGCGTCTGAGTGTGGGTGAGAGGGAATGAGAGCGTATGTGTGTGGGTGAGAGGGAATGAGAGGGTATGAGAGTGGGTGAGAGGGACGGAGAGCGTATGAGAGTGGGTGATAGGGAATGAGAGCGTGAGAGTGGGTGAGAGGAAATGAGAGCGTATGAGAGTGGGTGAGAGGGAATGAGAGCGTATGAGAGTGGGTGGGAGGGAATGAGAGCGTATGAGAGTGGGTGAGAGGGAATGAGAGCGTATGAGTGTGGGTGAGAGGGAACGAGAGCGTATGAGTGTGGGTGAGAGGGAATGAGAGGGTATGAGAGTGGGTGAGAGGGACGGAGAGCGTATGAGAGTGGGTGAGAGGGAATGAGAGCGTGAGAGAGTGGGTGAGAGGAAATGAGAGCGTATGAGAGTGGGTGAGAGGGAATGCGAGCGTATGAGAGTGGGTGAGAAGGAATGAGAGCGTATGAGAGTGGGTGAGAGGGAATGAGAGCGTATGAGAGTGGGTGAGAGGGAATGAGAGCGTATGAGAGTGGGTTAGAGGGAATGAGAGTGTATGAGAGTGGGTGAGAGGGAATGAGAGCGTAAAAGAGTGGGTGAGAGGGAATGAGAGCGTATGAGAGTGGTTGAGAGGGAATGAGAGCGTATGAGAGTGGGTGAGAGGGAATGAGAGCGTGAGAGAGTGGGTGAGAGGGAATGAGAGCGTCTGAGTGTGGGTGGGAGGGAATGAGAGCGTATGAGAGTGGGTGAGAGGGAATGAGAGCGTATGAGAGTGGGTGAGAGGGCATGAGAGCGTATGAGAGTGGGTGAGAAGGAATGAGAGCGTGAGAGAGTGGGTGAGATGGAATGAGAGCGTATGAGAGTGGGTGAGAGGGAATGAGAGCGTATGAGAGTGGGTGAGAGGGAATGAGAGGGTATGAGAGTGGGTGAGAGGGAATGAGAGCGTATGAGAGTGGGTGAGAGGGAATGAGAGCGTATGAGAGTGGGTGAGAGGGAATGAGAGCGTATGAGAGTGGGTGAGAGGGAATGAGAGCGTATGAGAGTGGGTGAGAGGGAATGAGAGCGTTTGAGAGTGGGTGAGAGGGAATGAGAGCGTATGAGAGTGGGTTAGAGGGAATGAGAGCATATGAGAGTGGGTGACAGGGAATAAGAGCCTATGAGAGTGGGTGAGAGGGAATGAGAGCGTATGAGAGTGGGTGAGAGGGAATGAGAGCGTATGAGAGTGGGTGAGAGGGAATGAGAGCGTATGAGAGTGGGCGAGAGGGAATGAGAGCGTATGAGTGTGGGTGAGAGGGAATGAGAGCGTATGAGAGTGGGTCAGAGGGAATGAGAGTGCATGAGAGTGAGTGAGAGGGAATAAGAGCGTAAGAGAGTGGGTGAGAGGGAATGAGAGGGTATGAAAGTGGGTGAGAGGGAATGAGACTGTATGAGTGTGGGTGGGACGGAATGAGAGCGTATGAGAGTGGATGAGAGGGAATGAGAGCGTAAGAGAGTGGGTGAGAGGGAATGAGAGTGTATGACAGTGGGTGAGAGGGAATGAGAGCGTGAGAGAGTGGGTGAGAGGGAATGAGAGCATGAGAGAGTGGGTGAGAGGGAATGAGAGTGTGTGAGAGGGGATGAGAGGGGATGAGAGGGGATGGGAGGGGTTGAGAGCGGATGAGATTGGATGAGAGTGGATGAGAGCGTATGAGAGAGTATGAGAGTGGTTGAGAGGGAATGAGAGAGTATGAGAGTGGGTGAGAGGGAATGAGAGCGTATGAGAGTGGGTGAGAGGGAATGAGAGCGTATGAGTGTGGGTGAGAGGGAACGAGAGCGTATGAGTGTGGGTAAGAGGGAATGAGAGGGTATGAGAGTGGGTGAGAGGGACGGAGAGCGTATGAGAGTGGGTGAGAGGGAATGAGACCGTGAGAGAGTGGGTGAGAGGAAATGAGAGCGCATGAGAGTGGGTGAGAGGGAATGAAAGCGTATGAGAGTGGGTGAGAAGGAATGAGAGCGTATGAGAGTGGGTGAGAGGGAATGAGAGCGTATGAGAGTGGGTGAGAGGGAATGAGAGAGTATGAGAGTGGGTGAGAGGGAATGAGAGCGTATGAGTGTGGGTGAGAGGGAATGAGAGCGTATGAGAGTGGGTGAGAGGGAATGAGAGCGTATGAGAGTGGGTGAGAGGGAATGAGAGCGTGAGAGAGTGGGTGAGAGGGAATGAGAGCGTCTGAGTGTGGGTGGGAGGGAATGAGAGCGTATGAGAGTGGGTGAGAGGGAATGAGAGCGTATGAGAGTGGGTGAGAGGGAATGAGAGCGTATGAGAGAGGGCGAGAGGGAATGAGAGCGTATGAGAGTGGGTGAGAGGGAATGAGAGCGTATCAGAATGGGTTAGAGGGAATGAGAGTGTATAAGAGTGGGTGAGAGGGAATGAGAGCGTAAAAGAGTGGGTGAGAGGGAATGAGAGGGTATGAGAGTGGGTGAGAGGGAATGAGAGCGTATGAGAGTGGTTGAGAGGGAATGAGAGCGTATGAGAGTGGATGAGAGGGAATGAGAGCGTATGAGAGTGGGTTAGAGGGAATGAGAGCGTATGAGAGTGGGTGAGAGGGAATGAGAGCGTGAGAGTGTGGGTGAGAGGGAATGAGAGGGTATGAGAGAGGATGAGAGGAAATGAGAGCGTATGAGAGTGGGTGAGAGGGAATGAGAGCGTTTGAGAGTGGTTGAGAGGGAATGAGAGCGTATGAGAGTGGATGAGAGGGAATGAGAGCGTATGAGAGTGGGTTAGAGGGAATGAGAGCGTATGAGAGTGGGTGAGAGGGAATGAGAGCGTGAGAGAGTGGGTGAGAGGGAATGAGAGCGTGAGAGAGTGGGTGAGAGGGAATGAGAGCGTATGAGAGTGGGTGAGAGGGAATGAGAGCGTATGAGAGTGGGTGAGAGGGAATGAGAGCGTTTGAGAGTGGGTGAGAGGGAATGAGAGCGTATGAGAGTGGGTTAGAGGGAATGAGAGCATATGAGAGTGGGTGAGAGGGAATGAGAGCGTATGAGAGTGGGTGAGAGGGAATGAGAGCGTATGAGAGTGGGTGAGAGGGAATGAGAGCGTATGAGAGTCGGTGAGAGGGAATGAGAGCGTATGAGAGTGGGCGAGAGGGAATGAGAGCGTATGAGAGTGGGTGAGAGGGAATGAGAGCGTATGAGAATGGGTTAGAGGGAATGAGAGTGTATGAGAGTGGGTGAGAGGGAATGAGAGCGTAAGAGAGTGGGTGAGAGGGAATGAGAGGGTATGAGAGTGGGTGAGAGGGAATGAGAGTGTATGAGTGTGGGTGGGAGGGAATGAGAGCGTATGAGACTGGGTGAGAGGGAATGAGAGGGTATGAGAGTGGGTGAGAGGGACGGAGAGCGTGAGAGAGTGGGTGAAAGGGAATGAGAGCGTATGAGAGTGGGTGAGAGGGAATGAGATTGTATGACAGTGGTTGAGAGGGAATGAGAGCGTGAGAGAGTGGGTGAGAAGGAATGAGAGCGTGAGAGAGTGGGTGAGAGGGAATGAGAGTGTGTGAGAGGGGATGAGAGGGGATGAGAGGGGATGGGAGGGGTGGAGAGCGGATGAGAGTGGATGAGAGTGGATGAGAGCGTATGAGAGAGTATGAGAGAGGTTGAGAGGGAATGAGAGAGTATGAGAGTGGGTGAGAGGGAATGAGAGCGTATGAGTTGTAGGAAGAACCGGCCACTTTAAGACGCCGTCCTGAACTCAATTCCTGATGAAACAATTTGTGTGAGCTATTTCTGGATAGGTCTTGGAGTGAAAAATCCGTAGCACCAAAAAACACAAAGATCGCCCAAGAAATGAGAACGGTAGCTTGAATAATATAGGGCTGGGTACAACATTCCAGAGAGTATCTATTTCTAGTTGACGAGTGAGTTTTTATACTCAACAAGAAAGAACTCACAATAACTAGAGCAATCGAACCACATTTGTAACCTAGCCGCGTGCAATTTCGTAACCCACCCCATTGCAAAATTGACGGTGAAATTTCGGAAAAGGAGTTACGTCCTTTTCCGTTTACATTTCCGTCCATGCACACAAGTTGCAAATGCAATGGGTCGGACCAATCACATCGCGCCATTTGTTTGTGCTTTTGTTTGGTTCATTCCGCCCACTTGCAAATAACCCTCGATGGTTTTGTTTCTAGCTACCACCCAAGTGCAACCCTTGACTTGTGTGCACCGCCACCCTTCCGCCCAAACTCTCGCCACCCAACCCCACTTGGTAAGGTTGGAGGGGTGTGTAGTGGGGACCACTTGGCCCCCCACCGACTTCCAACACTCCCCCTTGGTCCCCACAAGCACCTATGCATACAAGCCTACCCTAGCACAACATGCATGAAAGGTATCCTTAGGCAAAGGTTTGGTGAGGAAGTCCGCGGATTGAGCGTTAGTCTTCACGTAGCGTAGCTCCACCTCCTTGTCTTCGACGAGCTTGCGGATGAAGTGATGACGAATTTGGATGTGCTTGGTCCTTCCATGAAGGACCGAGTTCTTGGCAAGGTTGATTGCCGCTTGGTTGTCCACGTAGATCGGCGTGGGTCCCTCTTGTTCGTATCCTAGCTCGGCTAGGAGACGCCTCAACCACACGGCCTCGGTACCACCACGGTTGAGAGCAACATACTCGGCCTCGGTTGAGCTAAGGGCAATCAAGTTTTGCCTCTTGCTTTGCCAAGCCACCGCCCCCCCAAGGAGCGTGAAGACAAGGCCCGAGGTGCTTTGCCGAGTGGAAGGATCCCCCGCCCAATCGGAATCCGTGAACCCAATGAGTGCTACCGGCCCGGCTTCATAGTGGAGCCCTAGGTGACTAGTGCCCCTAACATAGCGAAGAAGACGACGCAAGGCACGCTCATGCTCTACCATGGGGTTGGAGACTACTCTCCCAAGTAGCCCAACCGTGAATGAGAGATCGGGACGGGTGCTCACGGCGGCATACATGCATGAGCCTACTATGGAATGAAAGCGCTTGGTCTTCTCGGGATCCATAGGGACTTCCTCGCTTGTAGCCAAAGGGTGGAACCCCACCTCCATGGGTGTGGGTGCCGGCTTGCTCTCGCTCATCCCGAAGCGAGCCACCACGTCCTCCAAGTACTTGTGTTGGTGAAGATGAAGAGTCTTGTGCGCCCGATCGCGGTCGATGTGCATGCCGAGGTAGTATGACACGGCACCAAGGTCGCGCATGGAGAACTCCGATGCAAGCTTCACCTTGATCTCCGCCACAAGGTCCTTGCAATCGGAAACGAGGAGGAGGTCGTCCACGTAGAGAAGGAGGACGAGCTTCTTCTCCCCACGGTTGAGGATGTACAGGGCGTGATCACACTCACTCCGAGTGAAGCCCAACTCAAGCAAGTGCTTGTCCATCCTCATGTACCATGCTCTAGGGCTTTGCTTCAAGCCGTAGATGGTGCGCTTCAACTTGCACACACGGTCCGTCCCATCCTCAAACCCCGGAGGTTGCCTCATGTACACCTCCTCCTCTAGGTGGCCATATAAAAATGCGGTTTTTACATCAAGTTGTTCTACCTCTAGATCAAGTCCTCCCGCTAGAGCTAAGAGAACACGAAGGGAAGAAGACTTTGCTACCGGTGCAAAGGTCTCGTTGTAGTGAAGCCCTGCCTTTTGCGTGTACCCTTGTGCCACCAAGCGAGCCTTGTATCGCTCCACCTCACCGTTCGGCCCGAGCTTCTTCTTGAAGACCCATCAGGACCCAACGGTGTAGCTATTTGGGGGCAAAGGGACAAGATCATAGACATCATTTTCAATCATGAACTCGTACTCCTCATTGAGTGCTTGAGTCCAATTACCGGCTTGGAGCGTCTCCATCGCCTCACGGTAGGTGGTAGGTGTGAAGTCGGCCATGAAGCACATGGCATCTTCCCCTTCCTCATCATCCTCCACCACAAGCGAGTAGTCGGCGTACTTCGGGTTCGGATGAGGAGTTCTTCGAGCGCGAGTAGATGCAAGCGTTGGAGCGACGACGGTAGAAGGATCACCATCCTTCTCACTCTCCACTCCAACCACTTCAACAACATCTCCCTCCTCGTCTTGAACACTCCTCTCCTTGGGAACATCGTGAGAAGATGACTCATTCGTGTCTTCAACCGTTGGAGGGATGACCACGACCGAATGCTTCTCTTTTGGTGAAGTTGGGAAGCGGTTCTCGAAGAATGAGACGTCGCGCGACACCACCACCTTTCCGCTCTCCAAGTCCCACACCCGCCATCCCTTGTGATCAAGGCTATGGCTCAAATACATCCCCACACGCGCCTTCGCCTCAAGCTTGGTGCGTGTAGCATCGGGAACGTGATAGTAGCAAATGCACCCGAAGGTGCGGAGGTTGGAGACGTCCGGTTTGTCGCCACTCCAAGCCTCGAGGGGTGTCACGTTCGGCAAGGTCTTGGTCAAGCTTCGGTTGTGAATCCAAGTTGCCAACATTGTCGCTTCACCCCACCAAGACTTGTCCGCATGAGCATGGGCAAGCATGCTCCTAACCGCTTCAACCAAGGTGCGGTTCAAGCGCTCCGCCGCTCCATTTTGTTGAGGTGAGTGAGGAACCGATACTTCGTGGAAGGTTCCTCGCGCCTTGAACCACCCGTCGAGCTCGTTGTTGACGTACTCTCCTCCTCCATCCGACCGAATCCGCTTCACGAGTTGTCCTTCTTTCTCCGTCTCAACAAGCGCCACCCACTTCTTGATTGTCGTAGAAGTCGCGCTTTTGTCCTTGAGAAGGTAGACCCACACCATGCGTGTCGCGTCGTCGAGGAGAGTGAGAATGTAGCGCGCTCCCCCTTTAGAGATAGGGGTGATTGGTCCACACAAGCCGGTATGGACGAGATCGAGCGGGTTGGAGGCGAGAGGCTTCGTGCGAGTTGGAAACGGCTTCCGCGCCATCTTCCCTTCAAGACACGCCGAACACTTCTCCACCTCCTCGTTTGTTGACGAGTCGATGACGATCCCGTGCACTACGCCTTGAGTTGCCATGGCGCGGATGGTTGACGCACTCAAGTGCCCGTAGCGGTTGTGCCACATCTCCAATGAAGGCTTTGCCACCGCCGCGTGCGCCGACGCAAGGTTCGGTGTAGCCACGAGCTTGAAGAGTCCGCCGTCTTGATGCGCTTTGCCGATGAAGCGCCCGGAAGACGTGCTCAATGTCATGACCGCGCCTTCGATGTTGACACGCATTCCCTTGGTGGTGAGTTGTGACACGGAGAGCAAGTTGGCGCCGAGTCCCGGCACAACCAACACGTTGTTGATTGTCATTGGACCGCCGTCCACCGCGATGCGCAATGTTCCGCGTCCCTCCACCTCAAGCGAGTCTTGATTACCGAAGACCACGCGCTTGATAGGAGCATCCACCGAGACATCCTCAAGAAGCTCCGCGTGCGGCGTCATGTGTTGTGTAGCGCCCGTGTCGAGAAGCCATGCGAGCCCGCCAAGAGCTCCTTCTCCTGCGATGAACACGAGCTCCTTGGTGTCTTCTCCCAAAGTCACCACGTTCGCGCGCCTCTCCTCTTGAATTAAAGACGTTGACGTTGGAGTCCAATCCCTTGGCTTGCTCCGACACTCGCGCCACCAATGCCCGAGCTTCTTGCAATACCGGCATGCTCCTTCACGAGCATGACCACGGTTGTTGTTGTTGTTGGCATGTCCTCCACGTGAAGAGCTCACGCTTCCACTTGCATGCCCACGGTCATTCCGTGGCTTGGTGTAGACAACGCCTTTTTTCGCGCCGCGCGTGAAGTGAGCCGAACTCGTTGAATCGCCTTTCAAGTTGATCCACCGCATCTCCTCGTTGATGAGGCGCGTCGTCACCCCCTCCTTGGTCCACGTCGCTTGCGTGCCGTCAAGGGTGGTGATGACGGTTGACCATTCCTCTCCGAGCCCTCCGAGAAGCGTCATGATCCAATCCTTCTCATCCACGTCCGCTTCAAGCTCCACCATTCGTTCGCCAAGCTCCTCAACGCGGTTGACGTATGCGCGCATGCGTTCGCCCTCCTTGATGCGCACGGTGAAGAAGTTCCTCCTCGCTTGCAACTTGCTGTGGAGAGACTTCGTCACGTGGATGTTCTCGAGGCGCCTCCAAGCTTCACGTGTAGCTCCTTCAAGGTCGATGCACGAGCTCACCACCGGCACGAGTTGAAGTCCGAGCTTCGACACGAGAAACGAGAACGCCTTCTTGTCCTTCTTCACCCATGCTCCATGCTCCGTTGTCGAGGCGGTTGGAGGCTTCACTTCGGATCCGTCGAAGAAGCCCCAAAGCTCACGCTCCATCATGTGCACCTTCAACTTGAAGCGCCATGATGCATAGTGCTCGCCATTGAACAATGGCACCGCACTCATGTCGACGATCGTCGTAGATGCGGAGTAGGACTCATTGGGGGTAGGACGAAGGGGGACCTCAGAGGTCGACGAGGAAGTCAAAGACATGGCGACAAGGAGAGTTAGGCGTCAAGCGTTTGAGAATTCCTAAGCTCTGATACCATGTAGGAAGAACCGGCCACTTTAAGACGCCGACCTGAACTCAATTCCTGATGAAACAATTTGTGTGTGCTATTTCTGGATAGGTCTTGGAGTGACAAATCCGTAGCACCAAAAAACACAAAGATCGCCCAAGAAATGAGAACGGTAGCTTGAATAATATAGGGCTGGGTACAACATTCCAGAGAGTATCTAATTCTAGTAAGAACTCACAATAACTAGAGCAATCGAACCGCATTTGTAACCGAGCCGCGTGCAATTTCGTAACCCACCCCATTGCAAAATTGACGGTGGAATTTCGGAAAAGGAGTTACATCCTTTTCCGTTTACATTTCCGTCCATGCACACAAGTTGCAAATGCAATGGGTCGGACCAATCACATCGCGCCATTTGTTTGTGCTTTTGTTTGGTTCATTCCGCCCACTTGCAAATAACCCTCGATGGTTTTGTTTCTAGCTACCACCCAAGTGCAACCCTTGACTTGTGTGCACCGCCACCCTTCCGCCCAAACTCTCGCCACCCAACCCCACTTGGTAAGGTTGGAGGGGTGTGTAGTGGGGACCACTTGGCCCCCCACCGACTTCCAACATGAGTGTGGGTGAGAGGGAATGAGAGCGTATGAGTGTGGGTGAGAGGGAATGAGAGCGTATGAGTGTGGGTGAGAGGGAATGAGAGCGTATGAGAGTGGGTGAGAGAAAATGAGAGCGTATGAGAGTGGGTGATGTAAGAGACTAAGGATCGAGTCTGTGAAGATTAGGAGCCTAAATTTCTCAAAATCGTTGGCTTGAAATACTGGACAGAAACCGCGACTTCACAAGAAACGTTGTCGACAAAAATTGCACTGTTAGAATCATCTCAAACTCGAGTATGTTATAGCCCTTGTTTGTGGCTATCGTTCCCAATTTGAATCGTATCGAAAAGTGGAGTAAATCTTGAGTTATGTTTCTCGGCGCACCAGGGGGTATGCTGCCACATAGAAATTAAATTCACTCACAATAGTTTCACAAGTTCACAAGAGTTGCACACAAGAGAGTTAGAGTAGCACTAAACCAGGTAGGAGGAAAAAAGAAGGACGAGAGGGAAGGTCCCAAGGAGTCCCCAACCAAAGAAAACTCCATGCCACACAATTCCCTTCCCCATAGGCAACCAAACTTTGACCTTTGTAACTATCCCAACCTCCACAATCCACCTCAACCCAACTTGGCCACACTTGCCAACCTGGTTTGGTTTCTCCCAACCAATTGGCAGCAACTACAGTAGTAGTGACGAATTTCCCAACCCCCAAAAGTCTGTACCCCATATTGAGTCAACCCCACAACTCTCCATGGTCACCACAACCAAATTATCAAAAGCATACGAACTCCAACGTTCGTAACTTTCTTGTTCATGCTCCGATTGAAGTGATTCTTGGTTCGTCGGAAAGCTCTTGAGCACTGGAGTCACTTCAGATATCTGCTCAAGCCAAATAACATTCACACACACTCAGAAAATCCAAAACACACAAGACACAAATTTCTTGCACACGCTCACACCACGCATGCAACGCACAAACACATGATGGGAGGCAGACAGACGTGAATGCATATGGTTGCATCACACAACAGGTGAGAGGGAATGAGAGCGTATGAGAGTGGGTGAGAGGAAATGAGAGCGTATGAGAGTGGTTGAGAGGGAATGAGAGCGTTTTGAGAGTGGGGAAGAGGGAATGAGAGAGTATGAGAGTGGGTGAGAGGGAATGAGAGCGTATGAGAGTGGTTGAGAGGGAATAAGAGCGTATGAGAGTGGGTTAGAGGGAAGGAGAGCGTATGAGAATGGGTTAGAGGGAATGAGAGCGTATGAGAGTGGGTGAGAGGGAATGAGAGCGTGAGAGAGTGGGTGAGAGGGAATGAGAGCGTATGAGAGTGGGTGAGAGTGAATGAGAGCGTATGAGAGTGGGTGAGAGGGAATGAGAGCGTATGAGAGTGGGTGAGAGGGAATGAGAGCGTATGAGAGTGGGTTAGAGGGAATGAGAGTGTATGAGAATGGGTGAGAGGGAATGAGAGCGTAAGAGAGTGGGTGAGAGGGAATGAGAGGGTATGAGAGTGGGTGAGAGGGAATGAGAGCCTATGAGAGTGGGTGAGAGGGAATGAGAGCGTATGAGAGTGGTTGAGAGGGAATGAGAGCGTGTGAGAGTGGATGAGAGGGAATGAGAGCGTATGAGAGTGGGTTAGAGGGAATGAGAGCATATGAGAGTGGGTGAGAGGGAATGAGAGCGTGAGAGATTGGGTGAGAGGGAATGAGAGCGTATGAGAGTGGGTGAGAGGGAATGAGAGCGTATGAGAGTGGGTGAGAGGGAATGAGAGCGTATGGAGTTGGGAGTACGCATCTCATCGTCGATGGCGGGCCGGTGGACATCACGAACGTGCTTCACGTCCCGGGATTGAAGGTGAATCTACTCTCCATCACTCGACTCGCAAAGAAGGACGTGAAGGTCACCATCGATGGCGCGAAGATGAACCTCTTTTGGAAGGGGAAGCAATTCGCGCAAGGCGTTCTCAACGGACAACTCTACCAACTCATGACGCATCCGACAACAGCTTCATCCAACGTGGCTCAAGGCTCCAAGGCGACTCTCAAGAGGTGGCATAATCGGCTTGCGCACGCCAACTACGACTCGGTCAAGGAGTTGGCCAAGAAAGGACTTGCGAAAGGATTTGACGTGATCTCTGTGGAGATTAACTCTACAACGGTAGTGAGCTAGACTACAGGGGTTGGCACGAACTACTAGAGGTGATTTTAGCTTTGCTTAGTTCCTTAGTGTTTGCACATTCACGGAAGAATTTGGCAAGAGTTTTCACTAGCAAGTTGGAATTCCAGAATAATCAAGAAGCAATGACAACAGTGACTACATCAGGCACCTAGCAACCCTGCAGCCAGCCTGGTCGACCGCCAGCGCAGCTCGGTCGACCGCCTGCCAGCATTGCGTAGAGGAGCCGCGCCAGCACTGCAGAAGGGCGACCTGCCAACAAAGCAGGTCGACGGCGCGCCCCGTAGAACACAGCAGTGCGCGCGCTCACAGGTGTGCGCAGACGATTGGCCCGACTTGCCTCGTTGGGCATCCGTCGTCTGTTTGTCTGCGCCTGACGAGCCACATCGACTTCGGGATTCCAGCCCGAAGTCGCCTGCGCCATCGTGATCTCGACGACGTTCGCGTGCCTCTGCAAAACTCGTCGAGCAGGTTACGCGGTCGACCTGGTCGACCTCTGGTGCTCTGGTTGACTCCCAGGTGCCTCCCGTCGACCACTGGGTCCCTCTGGTCGACCACCGGGCGCTCCTGGTCGACCACACCTCCCGTCAAGCTACCCCTTGGTCGACGGACCCCTTCCGTCGACCAGAACTGCTCTGTCGACCTCCCGGTCGAACTGCTGTTTGACGGGATGCTCCGTTGTCCTCCCGGTTGAGCTGCAATTCGACGGGACGCTCTGTTGACCTCCCCGTCGAGTTGCAGTTCGACGGGATGCTCCATAGACCTCCCCGTCGAACTGTAGGTTGACGGACTGCTTCGTCGACCTCCCGGACGGCTCACCCGTCGCCCAGGCCAGTCAGGTGCAGCTGTCGAGCATCCTGGTTGACAGCAACACCACAGTGGTCCGCTGCAGCTCGACGTAACCTGTCGAGCAGCTATCCCACTGTAAGCAGTCGGCTGCTACTAACGTACATCCGACCAAGTTGTCGGCGTTGCCCAAGCGAGGGCGGGGCCAACACTTCATTCCCGTTAACACTCCCCTGCCGCGCTCACGCTTGGGCCTCCAGCCCTCACGGCAGTACTCCACGGAGAGAACTCGTCCTCGGCGTGCACCCCACACACAGCACGCCGTCACCGCACCAGCCGTGCAGAAGGGCACGGCACCTACTGCTGCACCTCGTCGTCGCCGTCGCTGACGTCGACCAGACAAACTTGTCCGATGGCGACAGAGCACCGGTTGAAAGCCTGAAAATGCAGCGCCTTCGTCAGGAAATCCGCCGGCTGCTCGGTGGTCGGGATGTAGTTCAGTATAAAATTTCCCGCGCCTCACCATGTGCTGCAGCCACGCGTAGCGTCGTTCCATGTGCTTGAGGTTGCCCGTTAGCCCCAAGCCCTCAGCGACAATGATTGCCGACTTGTTGTCGATGCGGAGGATGGTCGGCTTCCCAGCAGTGAGCAGCTTGAATTCCGCAAGGAGGAAGCGAAGTCGACGGCCCTCCTTGCCGGCATCCGTGGCCGCCACGTACTCCGACTCAGTCGATGATAATGTCGCGCACTTGATGCGCGAGCTCGACCAAGAGATGGCGGCCCCTCCATAGACGAACACGTAGCCTCCCGTGCTCGTCCGGTTCTGCTTGTCGCCCGCGTCGTCGGCATCGACGTAGCCGATCAGCTCCAACAATTCTGGTCCACCGCCGAACTCCAGGGCGGTGTCGCGGGTGTCGGCGAGGTAGGCAAGGCAACGGTCGACCTCACGCCAATGCTGGTCGCTCCTCACCGTGAGGCCGCTCCCTAGCTTGCTGCAGGCAAATGCAATGTCCGGCCTCGTCGTCGTCGCCGTGAACTGCAGCGAGCCGACCTTCTGTCGGTACTCCTCCTCTTCGCACTCCTGAGCCTCCTCGTCATCGAACGTCAGCTGAGCGTAGGCGTCGACCGAGACCGGCGTCTTTGGGACTCGACCGCCCTGCTCCTCGTCGATGAAGCGCCTGCGCAGCTTGTCGGCGTAGCCCTGTTGGTGCAGCCACAACTTCCTGGCCGGCCTGTCGCGCACGATCTCCAGCCCAAGGTACTTCTCCAACGGCGAGATCTCACGCAGCTCGAAGGCGGCCTCCAACAGCTCCTTCAGCTCCTGCAGCTTCGCGGTGCTGCTGCTAGCAGCGAGTAGGTCGTCGACGTAGACCAAGACCCAACAGGTCACACCGTCGTCGCTAGTCTTGAAGTAGAGCGCCTCGTCGACCTGGCTCTTCTTCCAGCCAGCGCCCAGCAGCACACCATCAAGAGCCCTGTACCACAGCAGCGGCGACTGCTTCAGCCCGTAGAGGCTTTTCAGCAGATTACACACCCGGCCGGTCCCGTCGTCGAAGTAGTCCGGCTGGTACATGTAGAGCACCCTGTCGAGCTTGCTCTGCAGAAAAGCGTTCTTCATGTCGAGCTGCATCAGGTTGAGGTCGAGGACGGCGACGATGCTGAGGAAGATCCTCAGCGTGACGTAGCTGCTCACCGGTGAGTACGTCTCGTCGTAGTCGGCGCCGTACACCTGCGTGAAGCCCTTTACGACCAGCCTCGCCTTCTCGCGCTCGACGGTGTCGTCGATGTGGTACTTGGTCGTCAGCACCCATCGGTTCTTCATAATGTTCACCCTGCATGGGCGTTTGACCAGCTCCCAAGTCCCCATAGCGATGAGGCTACGGATTTCTTCTTCCATGGCGGCCTTCACCGCCTCGCCCTTCCAGCTCGACAGCGCCTCCTTCACCGTCATCGTGGCAATGTCCGAGCGGTGTTCGGGGTCAGCATGCACGTCGGGGTCGAGCTCCGACAGGTCTTCATCCTCCTCGGCATCGTCGTACAGCAAGTCGTCGTCGACCTCGTCGTACACCGTGGTGAAGGCAGCTGGCGGTAGGCAGGCGTGGAAGCTCAACCGCTCCGGCTGCCGTCGAGCTCGACCTGAGCGTCGCAGCTCAGGCTTCGTGATCGGCACTTCCATCACGTCGCTGTCGGTGGACTCCTCACCCGCCGACTGCTCCCCTTTCTCGTCGACGAGAACGTCATCGACCAGCTGCTTCGACCCTTCGACCGGCTGTTCGTCTGCTGCTGCCTTCGACAATTCTCCTGTCGGCCGATCCGACTGCTGCTCCCCTGTCGAGTGTACCCCTGTCGTTGCCTCCTGTTCGACCGGCTCCCCTGTCTGGTGCTCCCCTGTCGTCGACAGCTTCCCATCCTGGTCGACGAGCTTGGCGCCTTGTCGACCGCCGGCGATGCCATGGGCCGGCGCCACAGGCGACGCCTCAAGGCTCCCCTCATCAACGGTGGGCGACAGAGGTGCCGACCCAGGCCGATCTGCGACGGGGAACGGAGGAGCAAAGACAGGGGAAGGAGAAAGAGCCTCCACAACAGCCTCATCACCGGGTTCGTCGACTTCGGCGAGCAACGGAACCGGCGCTGTAGATGTATCCGTTGGCGGGTGCGCCTGCGTCCGCTGCGACGCCGGCCCATACTTCGCCTTCCACACCTCCAGCGACAGCGTCTCGTAGAAGATCACCGCGACCGACGTGACCACCTTGTTGTCGGTCAGGTCGAGCACTTCCCAGCCCTTGCTTGCTGGCGACACACCCAGGTGAAGTCCCCAGCGAGCCTTCGGCGCCAGCTTCCCACCACGCTGCTGCTCGGGAATCATGAACTGCCCCATGCAGCCCCACACCCGCGCCAGCGTAAGGTCGGGCTTCTGCCCGGTTAGCAGCTGGTACGGAGTCGTCCCTGGCGGCGTCGTCGACCGCTCCAAGCATTTGCGCACCCAGACAGCTTGTCCTAGAGCAAGGTGCCACCAATGGTGCTGTACGCCCATGTGCAGCAACATCGTCCGCACGGACTCGACGGCCGTGCGCATCTCCCGCTCAGCCATGCCATTCTGCTGCGGAGTGTAGGGGCACGTCAGGTCGTGGACGATGCCCTTCCCGTCGACGAAGTCGGTGAACGCCTTCCCGAGGAACTCCCCTCCTCGATCGGAGCGAAGCGACAGCACCGACTTCTTCGTCTGCCGTTCCACCAGCACTAGCCACCGCTGGAACTCCCGCAGCACATCGCTCTTCTTGGCGACCAGCATTGACCATACAAATCGAGTATGGCGATCCTTTAGCAGCAGGAAGTACAAGCTGCCATCCTTGGCAGCCACTCGAAATGGCCCGCACAAGTCAATGTGCACGACAGCCAGCGCCTCCGCTGCATCCGAGCCCGTGGCAGGGAAGATGTGCCGCGCCAGCTTTCCTCCGACGCACGAGACACATGGCGGGTCTGCTCCGGTTGACAGCGTGATGTCGAGCCCAGCAGCAACATCATGCTTCGCTGAGCTCTTGATCGTGTCGACGCTGACGTGGGCAAGCCGCGCATGCATTCTATCGGGGGTCGTCTTCGTCGCGGAGACGATCGTCCGCAGAGCCACCACCTCGGTCGACTGCGACTGCGTCGAGCAGGGGCGAAGGTCGGTGCAGAGGACTCGTCCGGTGT